AAATTATAATCTTTTGCTGGGAAGCAGGCCCAGAGCTTGTGGAGGAAACTAAAAGTAAAAACAACTGAAACACCATCACTAGGGTGTGGAAATCCTGGTTTGCTGGGGAATTTAGTAGAAATGGAGTGGACTGCGTGTTTAAAATCACGGGAACAATGAACCAATACGAATAACGTGGCTATTTTTAAATGAAATTCTGATGTTTTATATCAGTTACCTTTGTAGAAGAGGCCTTTTCCTTCTCCAACATGATAATGGTCCTCATTCCATAAGTGCGCTAGTGAAAAACATTTCTCTCAAAGAGAATAATGCCAACGTTGAACCTTCACCTGCAATGAACAAAGGCCTGAATCCAATAAAAAATATTATGGTTAGAATATAGGAGTTCGGGCACCTCCAGTAAAACCTTTAAATTTAGTAGAGATGGAAAGTGCGGCACCCAAATTCGAAGGTACATTGGGATAGGGATATATGCCTTCCAAAAGTTATAAAATAGTATGAAGACTCAAAATATCATTGGAAACAAAGAAATATCTTTGCCAATGACATGACGATATACGGGTGCGCCTCTAAAAGACTTGACGATTAGAAACTGGCAGCTGATCTTTCTTCCAATGTAGAACTAACATCCAAGTGTAGGGAAAAAAACTAGCTTTTTACTTTCAATGCATCGAAAACTTAACTACTTACATTCCATCACTACCGATAAGACCCCGAAATAACGTCAGTCACGATGAACCGATTTACCCTCGAGGAGGCACCATACCTTGATAGAATATTGGGCGTCTAACACATACCTGACATTAAAGATGCAGATAACATGGTGTGCTGACTCCTCATGCTATCATCTACCTTTATAAGAAGATCAAACCGAAAATGGAGAACTGGTGTCATATTTGGGCGGGAGCTATCCAGTCCTCAACTTCCAATTTTGATAGAATTCAAAAGCGTCTCCCAGTCCATATGGGTGACAAATTATTTCCCACCTTTTTAACCTCTCCCTTACAGGCTGGATGTGGCGAGACTCTAACAGCTGTATCGCTACTCTCATAGAAAGTGTTTGGACGGACTATATTCTTTGGTTCCGTCAGGTCTAATCTTCACGACTAGAACCCGCCATGCCACTTACATTGTAGCAAATCACCCACATTCCCTACGTATTCTACTGGCGAGAATTAAGTTCCACTTGAGCAGCTTCTTCCTGCGAACCACTGCTTTGTGGAACGTCCAAGAGGATATTGCCCCGATCACTACAATCTTAACCTGTTCATGCCTAATGTCAACCATTATCTCCTCTTCCTATCTGTATAACCCCCCCCCTTTAATGTAACTCTCTACTTCGATTTTCTCTAGGCCCTTGTGAACTTTTCTGTAGAATAAAGATAAAAAAGGAAAGTGTACTAAAATATTATATAAAATCGGTAAAATCTTATATGGCAGCAAATGCTGAAGATCTTATCACAGATGTAGAAGAGGCTTAAGACAACCAAAATGTGGTTTCTACAAAAGGATACTGGGAATATCTGGGACACATTAGCAACGACGAAGTTTTAGAGAAAATGCGAACAAGAAAGACGCTTATATGTAGCATCAGAAAGAGACATTTGATATTTTAAGGCACATCATGAGGAAAGACGACTTGGAAACTTTGACACTCATAGAACATATTTAAGGAAAGAGGGACAGAGCGAAAAACATATATAAATGGTTCGCAGAGGGCACCTCGGCGTGGTGTAATGGTTACGACTAAGTAGTGAGTTCGATTCTCACTGGGTGCCCCATACCTTCGGCCTTGTGCCACATCTAAGTTACGATTACAAATCAGTTGGGCACCTCGAGGTGGTGTAATGGGTAAGCAAGCTCATCTCGCTAGAACAATTACGACTGAGAAGTAGGGTCGATCCTCACTGGATACCCTATATATTCATATCTAATCTATGCTTGGAAAATCACTATAAATGGTAGGCAGAACAAGCATTAGGATATATTGCAAAATTCCAAGATATACCCAGAGTTATAATGTGTAGAACCATGATCGCTCACATCTTGAAGGTACGCAGTACATAGAAATGTGTTTCTTTTTTAAGAGGAGAACAATATACTGAGGGAATTTGTAGTAGATAAGTTATTAAATAACAGAATATCTTTACTTCTAGCAAGTGATAAGAAACTGACTGTCACCTGCGCACACGAATATTTTTTGCTTGTTTTGTTGTTCTGTTCTTAATGTTATTTTATTGAGTAAAACCTTTATCAAAATGCTCATGATTTTTTTATTCGAGTTCTAACATGTTATTCTTAATGTTATATAAAAAGGATCATATATCATAGCATTTAAAAGCTGGATATTGATTTAAATTAAATTGATGGTATTTTATAAATAATTATGAGCCGCACTGTATATATGATGCGCCAAGGCAATGTTCAGGTACTGAGTATAAACTGACCGCTACATAATTAAAATTTTAAAAATATCTGGTTATTGCAATGTTGGCGCCATTATATATTATATGGAATTACAGTTTTGTTTTGTTTTTTAATTTTAAAAATTATATTTGACATTTAAAATAAACTGTATCCGTATTTATAGATATAACAAAAATGTTTTAGAGTTGTGAATATTATTTTTTTTTTCATTTTTATATTAAGCATAAATGGAGATTACTTGTTCTTTAAAAAAACAAAAAAACAAGGTAATTTAAATTAAAAGTTAATCTGGACAAATGTATTTAAGCAGATATTTATTTTTTTATACCTACATGCATCCATCAGTCCATTTCTCTTTTTTTTAATAAGCTAGGGGTATTTAAATGTTTCAACATGACCAATTCCTCAATAAAAAATAAGTTACATCTATTTCCTTTCTGATATAAGATTGGGCTCTTGCTATAATATCCAAGTTGAAAAAAGCTTTATTACCATCATTCTTTGATTGACAGAAATATTTATTGTTAAAAAATCAATATAAACAAAAGTTAATATTCACAACTCTAAAATGATATATATATATATATATATATATATATATATATATATATATATATATATATATACGCATAGATAGATAGATAGATACATAGATAGATAGATAGACACACAAATCCGGTTCATTTTAAATGCCAAATACATCATTTTTTTAAAATTAAAATACTGTAATCCCAGTATAAAACTGCGCCATCATTGCGATAACCAGACATTTTTATTAAAATTTAAATTACGTAACGGTCAGTCTACAACCAGCATCTAAAGATTGCGTTGTGAATGAAACTTCGAGTGGTGCTATCGATGTTGTATTACATAGAGCTCTGTTTTATTAAGACCACCACTATATGTGGACTATATTTTTTAATTTTATTTCAAAAGCAAAATACCAACCTCTTTTTTTCGAGGAAATAAAAGTCTTGAGGGCTTTGCGGTAATCAACCAATCGAATATGATAGGCTTCAAAATCAAAATAAGAGAAAAGAGTTACGAACGTTGGAGTTGTATTCTATTCGTTCTCAACTTACCTGGATATATATATATATATATATATATATATATATTATATATATATATATATATATGTTTATATGTATATATATATATATATATAGATATAGATATAGATATGTATGTATATATATATGTGTATATATGTATGTATGTATATATATGTATATATATATATATATATATATATATATATATATATATATATATATATATATATATATATATATATATATATATATATATATATATATATATATATATATATATATATATATATATATATATATATATATGTATATATATATATATATATATATATATATATATATATATGTATATATATATATATATATATGTATATATATATATATATATATATATATATATATGTATATATATATATATATATATATATATATATATATATATATATATATATATATATATATATATGTTTGTATGTATATATATGTATGTATGTATATACGTATGTATATATACATGTATGTATATATATATATACATATATATATATATATATGTATGAATGAATATATGTATATATATATATATATATATATATATATATATATATATATGTGTGTGTGTGTGTGTCTGTGTGTTTTGTGTGTGTGTTATATCGATATAAACTGCGTATTATTTAAAGGTAAATCAATATTTCCTTTAAACGTTTATCATATAAGAAATCCCCACAAAAAACAGTTACCTTCTTTTAAATACAAACACCCGTTACTTTTTTTTCAGTCGGTTGCATATCACTCGTCTAAGCCGTTGTTATGCCTTGCCGTAATCTGACGAAATTATGGATTCTCTTTTGTAAGCTTCAGATTGAAGCAAAAACTGTCCGAAAAATAACTGAACGGACACTGATCTTCCCATGAATATAACGAAGTCCATTAATGGCGGTATGCTTTTTTGACCTGAGTCCCTTGTTACCAACTTTTACATATTCGTATCCAATTTCACATCTAACTGTTGCTCGGCGTAACGAGATCTCGCTGGGAGATTTGATCTGGTGTCATATTATTACGCGAAATTGCGTTATTACATCTGTCAGATTTCCCCCGGCTTCCACATTCACCAATTGGCAAAATGTATATCAAGATCCACATTATCATTGATTCGGTTATTTAAATTATATATGTACATGTATGTCGACTTCATGTCTGTAGTTTTTTAGTTCATTTGGTGGAATTTGGGTTGATGATTTATTTCAATGGAGTAAAAATATTCACTTTCTTTTGTAAGAACTGTTTTAAATAATAAGTGTGTTGAATTAAAACACTTGCCAAGGCTGTATCTCTCACATTGAATAAAAATATTATAAGATTTAATTTCCATATATTAGTAAATGCTCCACCTCGACTCCTCTTCACTCATTAATTCTGTACAGTGCAACTATAGATTCACTGTACATTCATCATATATCAATCTTTCTCATCCTAAATAACCTGAATGCTATAAAATGTAAAATAAAGTAGATTATGAAACAGAAATTATATGGAATCTATCTATCTATCTATCTATCTATCTATCTATCTATCTATCTATCTGTCTTATTGTCAGTTCGTATCTTCCCATCTAACTCAGTCTGTTCATTATCTATCTATCTATCTATCTATCTATCTATCTATCTATCTATCTATCTATCTATCTATCTGTCTGTCTGTCTGTCTGACTTATTGTCAGTTCATATCTTCTCATTTAACTCGGTGTGTTCATTATCTATCTATCTATCTATCTATCTATCTATCTATCTATCTATCTATCTATCTATCTGTCTGTCTGTCTGTCTGACTTATTGTCAGTTCATATCTTCTCACCTAACGCAGTCTGTTCATTATCTATCTATCTATCTATCTATCTATCTATCTATCTATCTATCTATCTGTCTGTCTGTCTGTCTGTCTTATTGTCAGTTCATATTTTCTAACCTAACGCTGTCTGTTCATTATCTATCTATCTATCTATCTGTCTTATTGTCAGTTCATATCTTCTCATTTAACTCGGTGTGTTCATTATCTATCTATCTATCTATCTATCTATCTATCTATATCTATCTATCTATCTATCTATCTATCTATCTTATTGTCAGTTCATATCTTCCCATCTAACTCAGTCTGTTCACTATCTATCTATCTATCTATCTATCTATCTATCTATCTATCTATCTATCTATCTATCTGTCTTATTGTCAGTCCATATCTTCCCATCTAACTCAGTGTGTTCGTTATCTATCTATCTATCTATCTATGGTATCCGCTCTATACCGCACTATCATTTTGTCTATGTATATCTTTTTCTTTTTATGTCTCATGTCCTTTCAGGACGTAGGCGATCATGGCTCTCCACCCCCTTCTATCCCCTGTAGCTCTTACTAAGTTCCTACCCTCTGCCATCTCCCCAGACTACCTGCTGTCATCCACCTGCTCAAGCTTGCCAAGTATGTCGCGTGCAGCTTTCCCTTGTCTCTCTTTCCCTCTATTCGAGGCGTGAGTATCAGATTCTCTAGGCCCTTCTTCCTCAATATGTGTCCCAGAAACTTCAACTGTCACATTCAGATGTTAAGTATAATTCTTCTACTGATTATAAAATAGTATTATTATTGCTTCTACTGCAACAATATTTAGAGATTTTTTTCTCCATTCGAATACTTGAGTATTCGAGTAATTGAAAAATATCTAATAGTTTTCTCAGATACATTCCCATCTATCTATCTATCTATCTATCTATCTATCTATCTATCTATCTATCTATCTCTCTCTCTATATATATATATATATATATATATATATATCTATATATCTATATATATTTTATATATATATGTATATATATATATATATATATATTTATATATATATCTTTATATATATGTATATATATATTTTTATATATATATATATATATATATATATATATATATATACATGTTCTATATTATCTCTCTGTTTATGTCTATATATATATTTATTTATATCTATCTATCTATGTATATATCTATATATATATATGTATATGTATATATATTTTATATATATATTTTTATATATATTATGTATATATATATATATATATATATATATATATATATATATATATATATCTGTTCATATCTATCTCTTTCTGTTTATGTTTATATCTATCTATCTATCTATCTATCTATCTATCTATCTATCTATCTCTTTCTGCTGTGCGTGAGAGCGAAAGCCAACATATTTAGTCGTTCTTCTCCTCACCCCAGTTACATTAGCACAAGGATGAAAATTTCTGTTTAATACGAAGTTGTCACTTCTTTTTTTTCTCGATTTTTGCCGAGATAATTGTGCGTGTTTTAATAAGACTAGATAATTCTGTTCCGTTCATAGCAAAATTGCGTGACGTTGATAAGATTTTCTTAAAATGGCTACAGACTGAGACAAACATCTGTAATTTGCTAGAAATTGGGAATATCCTTAACGGGGAAAAATGCTGTCTATTAACAAAGATTATCAAAATAAAGAAGTCTTTTATTTAGGTTAACAAATTTCAGTTTTGGAAAAACAAAGGAATCGAAAATAACTTTAACCCAATCAATTGCTGATTGTCTTAAATGGATATGATAATTTTCTTTAGTTGACGATAAGTATTTTTATTAATATTATTTCTGCAAATTGGATTTAATATTCCCATTTTTCATCTGCATTTTCAGATCAGTAAAAAAATATCCATGCAAAAGTGAATTCATTTTCACTGAATCTTAACACGGTCTAATTATTACAATGAAAAGCAAGTAATTTGGTAAATCCGTGCTGTTTTTAATTTTTTTTTTTTTTTTTTTTCTTTTTTTTTTTGACAAATACAATCCGTTGTTATAAAATATTGTTACTTTCTGGAGAGAAAACTTTAATAAAATGTTTGAATATAAAATCGGAACATAAAGCATATTTTTTAAGTAACAGCTGTTTCAAAAGAGCACATTTTCAATAGAATCTAAAAGGAAATGCATTTTTTTATATAGATTAGCCAGAAGTCATTTTGCAGTCATACAAAATAAATTATTATAGATTTCATGAACTAAAATATAACTAGGAGGTCTGTCGTGTTTTTATTATGTTTAAACTTCAGTTTTCTGAAACAGCTGAATTTCTTCAGAATGAAAACTCTCCATCTAAACAATATCAATTTTCTTTTACATTACTTTATCATGCATATTAATATATAGGATTTCAATAAATTATCTGTACAGTTTTAAAAATGTATAAATATTGAAAAAATGAAGATGAACTCTACAGAGTTTATAGCAACATATAGGTACACACATAAAGTTTGGTTTGAACACATCAGTCCACTCCAATATCGGGTCCATTAGTTACACGCAACACATCTCGGCGAGGTTTAGTTTCTGTTTTTTGCAAGACAGTTTCTATTTTCATAAACTTCTTGTGCCAGACATGAATGCTAATATTACATGGTCCTTTTTTCATACTTTTGACTGTAATGGCACTGGGGCAGAGTGTCTGATTTGATCTCTACCGGACAGGATAGACATTGCGCTTTCTCTTGTGGTGCTGTCATTTTCATGAAAAGTTAGCGCTTAATAATCAGCATCTATTCTTATTTCTGAGATGAGGTATTTTATCTATTAAGACTATTTACATTGTCCAGACTGTTTTCCTCATCATTATTGTTATATTCACGACTTTTCGGCCGATGTACGCTCCGGACTTCTTCAGGATCTGTCTATATTTCTGACATTTTAAGGTATTTTAACTGTTTAAACGATTTACATTGCTATTACTGTTGTCGTCATCTTTATTGTTATATTTACAACGTTCCATCCTTTGTACGCTCCTGCTTTCTTCAAGTCATATACATTGGAATTTAGGAACGAACCCTTTATTTCGTCCTCAATTTCCAATTGCTATTCCTATTATGTGTCACACATTTTTTAATTAAAGGGAGACAATTCCTAAGGGCTCATCTTCTATATAATAAATACCAATGTCAGTGTATCACTGTCATACCTTTTCACTTTTTGCGACAAAATTTTAGTAGGATAACAGTTTTTATAACTTAGAAATAAATTTGGAAATAATTGAAATTAATTGAGAAATTCAGCGAGTCACCCATAATTGTCTGTACGAAAAAATAAGGACCTACGCGCACAAATTGTCTTTAAATTAAGTGGCGGCAGAATAATTTTCGTTGAACTTTTAAAAGGTAAGCTTAAATATTAATGCAATACTTAAATGCAGCGATCAATTTTGAATTCTTCTGTGGTTTACCGTTGCAAATTGCATACGGCAGCAGCATATCTCGTAAAAAGAAATTTCTACCAACAAAGGACCAGATTGCAATCGAAAGAGCCAAAGCTGCAGCGAGGAAAAAGAAAGTCCCGTGCAAATGAAAGCCCGGATCAAATTGCAGGCAGGGGAGTTTCCAAAGCTGAGAATATGCAAAAATTTAGTGACTCTCAAACTTCAAAACAAGCTGAATGCCTAATCAAGAGCCCTTCGAAGGACGAGATTGAACGCCATCCAATATGGCGGCTTTTAAGGTAATATTTAATAAAAATGCACTAACGAAGTTTTTTTTTTCATATCTTTTCTTTAAGTTTTTTTTTTTTTTTTCATCGATAGGTTTGCGAAATTGAACGAAACGTAGTATTTGTAAATCTCAACCAAATTGTTAGTGATAAATCCAGGAAGAGGATTTTAACATTTCAGCGAGTTGCAATAAAATTCGAATATAAATGTATTTAGCAAATTTAAACGTTCTGCTACTATACAATTATTCTAATTGATTTTTCAAGCATTATATAAGCTTAAGATAATATAAGGTCATGTATAATAAAAGCATGGACCAACAGAAACATGTTTTTGCATTAACTGTATCACTATTGTACCGCTTATTGAATACATATCTATCTATCTATATATATATATATATATATAATATCAATTTATTTATCTCTCTCATTCTATTGTTCATTCAATTTCACGCTTCTTAATGACTATTACACGGATGCCATCGGGTCCATATTTGTGGGAATCCAGGTTTGGGATGATAGCAGGAACCATTGCATATCACTCAAGAGAGCCTCAGTTCCAAGTGGGAAATTAGGTAGGAATACTTCAGATGAGTCAAGAGGAGAATTTACTGGAAAATAATTCAGCTTTATCAGCAGAGGATGATAAAATCTCAAATCGATTGAAGACGGTGAGAATAGAGACCTTGCACTTTTTGTACCCTATTCCAGAGCTGCCAGCAATCACGAGAGTCACATTTTTAGAGGCTACGCGGTGCCTCGTTCTCACAGCAAACAGGGATTTAGCTGCTTCGAAGACTCTCTTATATTTGTTACGAGCAGTATCAAATGGGCTCCTTTTATGACATAGCTGTATATCCGGAAATAGTGTTTCCTGTGGGCCAAGGCGGCCGAGTTTGGTGTATTGAGAGGACTGCTCTTCCACCTGGTATTTCTGAGTAGGGCTGAAGCGTCCATGCCGTCTGTGACCTAGGAGAAAACCTCAGTAGTGAAATTTCCAATTTAGAGTTTGAAAATCTTAGTCCAAGAGCCATCACGAAGAAAATCCCTAAATTAGTCCTAATCACCATGCTGGTAACTGAAAGCGGTCTTATTGAGAGGGAGGTTCCTGTTTAATATATATATATATATATATATATATATATATATATATATATATATATATATATATATATATATATATGTATCACTCTGTTTATTATCTATCTGTCTCAGTCTGTACATCTCTCTCTCTCTCTCTATATATATATATATATATATATATATATATATATATATATATATATATCAGTGTGGGAAGCTTAACGGGTATCGGCGAGCCGAGTTAAAATTCTTGCCGATTTCGTTCACTTCACTTTAGCGCCATTGAAACTCAAGAATCTCTCATCTATGGTTTAAGTAGCAGGGAAGATTGAGCTTTCTTCCATTTTGTTGTGGAGCATGGTAAATAACCATTTTTCATCCTTAGATCTTGACGCTAACCCTGCGAGTTAAGGCCCATCAAAATCAAACATACCAAAATGCAGTTAGGAGATTTTCTGGCGGACTTTGCACTATTTCTAATTTACCAGTTTCGAAAGTCATGACGGTTTCCACACAAAACATAGCCGCTTTACATTATTTACATTATTCGGACTATCGTCCTCATCTATGTTGCCATATTTATTACAAAGTTTCGGCCGTTGTA